TTAGGCAACATGCTCGTTCTTTAGCCAGCCAGCAAACTTTGCCCCGGACTGTAATTTATCGCTATCGGAGCTCGCTGCTCTTGATATGTGTAACAAAAGGGCGATTTTCAAGCCAATGAATGATGAAGAACGTGAAGAAATGAAACGTAGATGCGGAGGATCTTGGAAATTGGTCCTTAGGTTTTTGCTGGCTGGTGAAGCGTGTTGCCGAAGAGAGAAATCTCAAGCAGTTGCTGGTCCTGGTCATAGTATCGCCATCACATCAAAAGGCGAAGTTTATACTTTCGGGTTTAATAACTCTGGACAGCTAGGACATGGCCGTACCGAGGAAGGAGGCCGGATTTTGCCTGTCAGGTTATCCTCATTGACATCTCTTGTTTAGTTTATAACCAAAAATACCGGAAGATGGTTTCACCGAGAGAGTTATCGTGTTGTGCAGATCATTGCAAGGAATCCGAATCATCCAAGCAGCTGCTGGTGCTGGTCGGACAATGCTAATAAGCGATAGCGGAAATGTTTACGCATGCGGGAAAGATTCTTTTGGTGAAGCGGAATACGGCGGGCAAGGAACTGAACCAGTTACAACTCCTCAGCTTGTAACATCCTTAAAGAACATATTTGTGGTGCAAGCGGCTATCGGGAATTTCTTTACCGCTATTCTCTCCCGAGAAGGAAGGGTTTATACATTCTCCTGGGGCAACGATGGTAGACTCGGACACCAAACCGAGGCTAATGATGTTGAGCCCCGTCCTTTGTTAGGCCCGCTCGAGAATGTACCTGTTGTGCAGATTGCTGCCGGTTATTGCTACCTTCTTGCCTTAGCTTGTCAACCAAATGGCATGTAAGTTCTTGTTTATACTCTATTTCTTTTCGGTTAATTAGACTGTTTCAACCATATTATAGGTCATAATCAATAGTTTAAATGTAGGTCATATTTATGCGTTTAAATGCTTTTACAAAAATAATTTGGATCCTAAACATTTTGTTACCTATCTATGGGTCATGTGAAATAGCACAGTATGCACATGCTTAAAACCGGCTCTGACACAATAGCATGCTTTTTGTAGGTCGGTTTACTCGGTTGGTTGCGGTTTGGGAGGTAAACTTGGTCACGGGTCAAGGACAGATGAGAAGTATCCTCGGATTATCGAACAGTTTCAGCTATTGAATCTTCAACCTAGGGTGGTTGCAGCGGGTGCTTGGCATGCCGCGGTGGTAGGTCAAGACGGAAGAGTGTGCACTTGGGGTTGGGGAAGATATGGTTGCTTGGGACACGGTAACGAGGAGTGTGAATCAGTCCCTAAGGTCGTTGAAGGGCTAAGCCATGTCAAGGCTGTTCATGTAGCAACAGGAGATTACACTACTTTTGTGGTCTCGGACGATGGCGACGTTTACTCGTTTGGCTGCGGCGAATCCGCTAGTCTTGGTCACCACCCAGCCGTTGATGAACAGGTTAGCGCTTCACTATTGTCTCTTTTGCTTACGTTTATATGATATAACAATGTGTTTTTGACAAATAGCCGCAAATTTTAGTGTTTGAATCAAATATTTAACAAAAATTTTAAATGTTCCATATTTCAAAGAGTGTGAAACAAAGGTTATAACATGTAAACACAAACGCAAATGAATATTGAAATCTACATGTTGGTAGAACCTGCTCATTTGATTGTTTTAAGACTCTTATGTTTCGGTTTGTATTTTTTTTGCAGGGTAATCGGCAAGCGAATGTGCTGAGTCCAGCGGTTGTAAAATCGCTGAAACAAGCGAACGAGCGGATGGTTCAGATTAGTCTAACGAACTCGATATATTGGAACGCTCATACGTTTGCGCTCACAGAATCAGGGAAGTTATTCGCGTTTGGTGCGGGCGATAAGGGTCAGCTCGGATCACAGCTTGGTTCAAACCAAACAGAAAGGTGCACACCGGAAAAAGTGGATATCGATCTCAGTTAGAGGATTAGCGGTTTGTTGGCACGAAATTGCATTTGACATCAAGTAAAACGTAAGGAAGTTGCGTTTACTTTTTATGTTCATAAGACTTGGGAAGGTTGTACAAAGGGGGGGGGGGAGGGACATAAGTTAAGGAACTTGTCTTAACATTTCATTGTATAGGGTTTTAGATTATTCTAATTGTTCGTGGGTTAGGTCATGTTGTTAATATTTTCTCGCATAATTTCATTAAATACATTTATTGTAAGGTTCAATTTCTATTTCATTTGTATAAAAGCCTAAAAGGCTAAAACCAATTTGTGGTAAAAAGGTTCTTCACGCACTTGTTTGCCAAATTGACTAAACTGTGGATTCTTTGGTAGGGG